TGGACTCAACAGATGACTGGTCCCACTTGAAGGAGATGTGAGGGAAGGCATGACCTGATCTGCAATTGAATACCTTCTCCTATGTTTGCTTACCTGCTGCTGATGGCGACCACCACTAATAGGTTTACCACTAAGAGGTTTAGCCGTTTTGGGCGCTGAGTAGCCGAGAATGGGTTCGCCGTCACAGAAGACGGTCTCTTGAATAGTCTCGTGAACTCTGCCGCTGTTTGTGCTCTCAATTGCATTACTATTCGATGATATCGTTGCTAATGGAAGTGTAAGGGCGCCGGCATTTGCACGACCTTTGCCGACAACCGAATCGCTTGTTATGGACGACAACTTTCTGGCGATAACAGTACTGGACAGGGATGTGGAGGCGCCTAACGTGCCGGCAGTCTCTGGTTTGACGGGCACTACTTTGACGCCGAGGGTGTCCCTCACTTCAAAGGTGAGCACACAGGCGGCCACTATCACTATACCGCCCAAACCCATGATCACTGGACCCACGTATGTGAGGTTATGGAGGTGTTGTTTGGTGTCGGGGTCTATGGTAGGCACTACTGTCCCATTCTCTAACTTCACGTGTTCTATGGCTAAGGGCTCGGCGAAGAAGCCCACGACCGACATGACGGTGCCCAACACGAGCAACACTATACCCCCGCTCAGGGCTTTGATGGCAATGCAGAAGCAATGCCAGGTGCACCTCAGCCGTGGCTCCTCCTCCTTGTTCTTGTCGTTATCCTTATCTTTGTCTGCATTTTCTCTGTGGGCCGGGTGGGGGTAAAACTCATGCGGGTGTTGGCCCGCAAACTGCGCGAACTTCTTGTCGGCGTCGGGACCTAAAGTGTTGAGAGAATGGGCTGCGGGTGAGTACGTTCTGCCCGCTTGAAGGCCTGGGATATGTGAAGGAGTTCTCGCTCTACCTTTGTATGGCTGCGGCGGCACTAATGGTCCCGACACTCGCCCAGTTGTCTGTTGTTGGCGTAGTTGTCGTCCAATTACTGCCGCACTGTTCATAATATTCAATCAATTATAACATACAACAACTAAATGCTATTCATTGGCGAGAATTGTGTCATAAATGTGTCGATCACTGACTTTCAATGCAAGCATATCATGGTTTTAGTTATTAATGAATTGTCTGTTATGTTAGAGTTTCGAGCAGTTCCACAGACTAAGACATCGCATATCCATAATAATAATCATCACATATTCATCCACTAATTTATGGTTAGTTTGAAAACTCGTGCGAAGTTTTAATACTCATTTGGATATCAAACAGTATTTAATGAACACTACGTTATTAGAAGTGGTCGTTACAGACGTTAGCAATAGTTAGAGACAGTTATAGCAATAATAGTAATCATAATGGAGAGAATAATTGGCAAATTGTGTCATTCAATATAATGTATGGACAATCAAATCAATATAATCCGGACTGCATTCCGCATAATTCAATTCAATGGTCATAATTCATCTAAGTTTGTGATAATATTCATCACAATCACATGTCATCGCAACTACGGATTCAATGGTCACCAATATATAGAGTAATCTAATGTAATCTATATATTAATAAATTTCTTTAGTATCATAAATAACTTATATTCAATACATATTAATGGTTAGCAAATGGTATTATCTATTTGTGTGAGAAATGGTAGCATTGATTATGAAAAACAGCACATTCTTCTGGTTTGCTTGAAAAGTGAGACAATTATATATAATTAAAGTGCAATTAACGTGCGTTTAATGTCTTCAAGTTTTTTGCTGCTTTTTGTGTCAATACTTTCAATACTAGACTACAACTACTGTGTGCTCTAAGACTACTACTATTAGTAGCACTACTTTCTATTGGTTTTCTAGCACAACAACAATCAATAGTATTTCAGATACGAAGTCAAGTGAAAAGTGAGAGAAGAATCTAATATTAAAAAAAGAAAATCTGCAAAAATGTGAACATAGGCAGCAAGGGTGCAGTCGTTGTGTTCAATACAATCTCATATGATATTAAATATTAATTATATTATATAATATGCGGTGCACTATAGCATCAGTTCAGTCATTCCACTACAGAATATTCTACAGTAGAATAGTATATGAAGTGTCAAGTGTTTTCTACCTCATAATGGCTCGCAATTATATGTTGAAACAGTTTCACAACTGTTTTGTCGTGGCGTTTGGTTCAGAAGAATCGCGATTTAAATATGAGAGCATTTTCTGTGTGTTTTATAACATCTCTGTTTAACTCTCAGCCAGTCATCTGATATTCAAAAGAATATATGTTTTGAATAATTTAAGTTTTTGAATAAAACCTCTCATCTCACAGAACAACAAACAGTGTTTTGTGAACCAAAGCAACCATTTTTCCCATCACTTCCTTTGGATGCATCTGAAGAAGTGATAAGAAGTTAAGTCAGTAATCAAATTAAGATTAGTTTCCTGTAAATCAGTTATTATGATAATAGAAGAATCTAATATTAAAAAAAGAAAATCTGCAAAAATGTGAACATAGGCAGCAAGGGTGCAGTCGTTGTGTTCAATACAATCTCATATGATATTAAATATTAATTATATTATATAATATGCGGTGCTATGCGTTCACTATAGCAAGAGTTCAGTCATTCCACTACAGAATATTCTACAGTAGAATAGTATATGAAGTGTGAAGTGTTTTCTACCTCATAATGGCTCGCAATTATATGTTGAAACAGTTTCACAACTGTTTTGTCGTGGCGTTTGGTTCAGAAGAATCGCGATTTAAATATGAGAGCATTTTGTGTGTTTTATAACATCTCTGTTTAACTCTCAGCCAGTCATCTGATATTCAAAAGAATATATGTTTTGAATAATTTAAGTTTTTCAATAAAACCTCTCATCTCACAGAACAACAAATTCACAAAACACTTGGTTTCGTTGGTAAAAAGGGTAGTGAAGGAAACCTACGTAGACTTCTTCACTATTCTTCAATTCAGTCATTAGTTTAATTCTAATCAAAGGACATTTAGTCAATAATACTATTAAATTATATGGAATATAAAGAGTGAGAACTTAGAAAATAGCGTGAAATGGATTACAGTTATAGAGTTATAGAGTATTTGGAATAAAGTGTAGATTCTGAGAGAACTGCAAAGGAAAGGGATTAGACATAGAAAATCGCGATCAGTGTTCGTATGCCATGTTATTAATGATTACAATCGCCTTTGATTAACAATTTACACACTTTTATAATTAAACCAAATAATCAACTTGAGTTTCATGTGTTGTGATAATCATATCATTGAGTTGAAGTGAGAAGTTACATGTGATATATAACTTTTTGTGCCAAATTTTGAATTAAAATTCGTTTGTAAACGATTATGATGTGACACAAACTAATAAAAACACTTTACTATTACCGGTCGATGACATAACATGTAAATTATTATCAAATCCACTGACGATCACTGATCGGCAGTTAATAAAGTTTTGTGGTTTTGGTACTAATTGTTTGTTATGAGAGGAAAGTGGTCTTACCTTTGAGTGAGATAGTGTGGTAGTAGTAGTCGGGGGAACGGGTGAACGAAACGGTGAATTCGGTTAACTTATCCTCTGAGACGAGCACATGAGGGCAACCAATCAATTGAACTCATCTTATCTTAGAGTCCAAACACTTCACAACACATTCACTTTGCAAGACCAACAAATGCTTTACATTTCCAAATGCTATGAATGTATGGAAAATGAATTCTTGAGCACAATTGTAGACGAGTTGCCAAAAAGTGAACCCTTTTGTCGCTGCAAATGATGTTGCACTCTGTGTGACTGAGTGACGCTGATTGTCCAATAATTTACGTTCTGTTGTGAGCAGCGGCTTATCTCAGGTTGTATTGATTGTATAGATATGTAATTCATATATATATCCCTACCTTACTCTTCCGTTCTCTATGTCGCTCTCTTTAGGTGTTTCCATGTATTTGGACAGTGCTTTGGCTGTGAATTAGTGTTTGTGTGCAGATTCGAGGCAAAGCACTGGATGTGAGTGCTGTGGCTGTGCTGCCAAAGACATACCAGACTACCAGACATGCTCTCAATGGCTGTATGGATGGCTGTATGG